GTGTAATTCTAAATGCTGCTCCTGCAAGAAAGCACTTGTCTACTGTACAGCATTGTGTCAATGCTGTAAATGCACCACTAATCACATGGAGACGGAAAGTGACTACAGTGGTGGAAGTGAAGATGAAGATACAGACTCGGAATACAATGTTTTCCATGACACTAAGTTGATCCGCAAGACAACAAGAAGCTGATCAGTCGGGTGTGTCAGTTCTTAAATTTGGGGTTCCTCAAGCCTGCACTGTGCTGTAGTACTGGACCACCACTTATATCCCATACCCTATTTTATGGCGTCTTTAGTCAATTCTTTGGTCTAATCTCAAGTCACAGACCAAGAACCAGTCTGTTTTATCTGTTTTGGATTTCATAACCTGATAAAATGATCCACAAATAATATTTGGCAATAACAGATTGCTTTTCCCCCCAGAAAAACCATTTGACGCAAACTGGCAGTGATTATGAATAATTAATTATTATTATATTATTATATTCTGAACAATTACTGTAATTAGCTGGGAACCAACACATTTTTATTGTCTGCTTTTGTCTGGTTTGCTTGTTATGTCTGAATTGGTGTGTATACATGTAGTTAACATGATTAACACACATGGAAATAGTTGACAAGTCCAATTTTACAGAGAGGGGTGTTTTTCACCTCATTAACAAATAAAGGTTGACTAGTCTGTACTTGTTGGATTCTCCAAAGACATTTCCATAAGATTTCCAGGTTGGTATAATCTAAAATATAAGTGCCAAGTTTGCCTGTTTCAATTGGTGTGCACTGATAACATTTGAAAATTGAAAGAGTATTGAAACATTTAAGTAGATGAGTCTACATCAAATAAAGATTCATAAAATCAATAAAATTCAACCAAAGAAAAGTCCACAGCAAATCAAGATTCTGCAAGAACGTTCATTTTCAAAAGGCATCCACACAGGGACGGCCCAAGACTGCTAGTTACATTTGAAGCCCTGAGTATTGATGAAGAAAAAGAATCTAGAATAATTCTACTTCATAAAATTATAGTTGGAAAGAGTAACTCCATTTATTGGATAAGTCTGCAGCAAACACAGTACAGAGTAGATTGTGGAATAAAGTTGTAACACTGCGGAAAATGTCAGTTGTGAAACTATGTAATTCAAAATCATGTAGTGAAACAAGAAGGAAGATAAGTTCAGATGCTTTTTTTGTCAGTGTCCTGAGAAAATCTTCAAACTTTACACAATTTTCTACTATATCGGCAAAATGAGATCTGTATCTGTTAATAAGTAACATTTTCTGCACAAGGGTATTGGATAATATCCACTGCGACTCGTCCATTACGACTCATCCATTGCGACTCGTTCTAGGACATGTCTTTTGTCCCGCCACTGATTAGATAAATAGGAATGTTCACATTTGAAGGTTTTTAATTCAAAGGTGTGTACCTCGTTGAACGATTGCAATATTTATGGGAAAATATTCTAGAGTTAATTTTAGTTGTGTATGTAAAGAATTTTTTTTCATGTAAAATGTAAATTTTAAAAAATGATTGCATATGCAAAGTCAAATACACAGAGGTCCACGTTTGCAGGCGCCACACAAAGGTTGGTGTATGGAGGTCCACGATTTGGGTGAGGACTACAGCCTGACTCAGAAGGCTTTTACAACTTCCAACTGTACATTATTTTAATATCCGTAGTAACAGCAGTTACCATGTTACACATCGACTTCCCTAGGCTTTATTTAATGAGGTCAATGGTTTTGGCTTTACAATGACATGTCCACAATTGAAGGTGAATACCAGTATGTATGAGTGGGTGAGTGCACCCATACAACATGCAATGGCTGCTGCAAAGATGAAGGCCATCTTAACTGACAAACCTGTGAGTGGAACCAAGCCAAGGGCATTACAGTAAGTTTCAGCAAGATGTGACTCAGATTCCATGATGACACGAGGGTACATGCTGGTTATGCATGCATATACACATGTATGTACATGCCTCTAAATATAGGAGTTCAGGCAATGGAGGAAAAGCCACCTAAGAAGCCGCTATAAATAGCTGTGATGACAAGCTCGTTACTGTGTGAGTAGAGAGGACAGGCTGGAATGGGTAGAACAGGAAATCACACATCCCTGCGACTGTTGCAGTGATCTCTAAGTTTTCAATCCAGCTAGCGACATCTACACAATCTGTGGAAATGTTGTCTACTGTCTACAATGGCCAGCACATCAACTTGAGGTTGGTTGAGCAGACCTCCCAACATTTGAATTCCAAAGTTCCCTGATCAGTCCCGAGTCAGTTGCGCATTCCACGCAAACTGTCAATTTGCTACTTAAATACTACTTTGAAAGATTGTATGTTCCACTAAGAAGTCTATTGCATACACCTCAGCCTTTATCCTGTCTAATTTCTGCAAAAATTCATTGAATGCTGTTAATTTGGGCACATCACGCACAGACTCGACACACTTATGATGCTTATTTGAGCTGACATGCTTTGCACAGTCCCTGCATGGCTAATCAGTAAGTCTACAGAACAGACACTGCAATGAGCATAGCTCACCCCTGATCACGATGGTCCAATACACAGCCATTCCTCCTGATATCTTTGTATATACTGCTGTCATTAGTATTATTTTGTTCGCATTGCTTTTGGCATTTTGTATTACGATTTTAATTGAAAGCAATCACAACACACACCGTTATTGACATTATAGAGGATGGACACTGAAAGAGTTACACTCGGGCACTTCAAAGTGTTCAATGATGGTCACCGCCGAGTCAGACAAATAATAGAAAACCTTCCAAAAATGCCTGATTACTGACTGTATCTTAGCCGGACAAGTCGGGCCAGTAATATCCCAGCAATACTTGTAGTTTTTACTTGCAATTAAATACAAATTATTGCTTTTACCAGGAAATAGGGAGAGAAAAATTAGACCTACTTTTCCCATCGTAAAAATTTTTAAAAGTTTGATACACTGTTCCATTATCCATGCAAAGTTTGTAATCTTATTCTCAATCCAATACATCAGTGTTCTTGGTACAAATTGACTGAGACTGGCCAACAAACTGTTCACTACTGCTGGAAAGCTTAGTTCATTAGGAACAAAATGCGCAATTTCATCACAGAGAGTGATCATGAAATCTGATTAAGTACGCTTTTGTACTAATGCCATGATAATAATGATTCAAACAAAACACAGAATCTTGTAAACAACAGGGCTATCTATTCCCAAAATAACTCCAGAAGAAAGAGCTCATTAAGGACAATGACTGCACATAAAGATTTAGGGCAGACAGCGTAATACAAGCAACTGCGCAAGCATTAAATTTGATTTTGTCATGATATCACACCATGCACCAACAAAGGCATGAATATTCAATTTTCTACACCTCGGTACACGAAGTTTTAAGGATGCAGATTACCATCAACAAATTGTGGTGGCAATCATAGGGTACAAAGGTAAGCGTTTGCTGCACTCTGGCTATGGACATGCCAGGCATGCCAGAAAGCAGTAATTGGCCAGATGTTACAGCCCGGACAGTTCAAACTCCTTCTGTGTTCTTCCTCTATAACATCAATGCCACAGAATTCATGCTTTGCTTGTATCATGTACATAAATTGTTCCACTATACATGTAATATCTGAAGTGTGAATGGTGCAAAGACCGGTGATAGTATGAAAATTAACTTTCACAAGTCCTCGAAATATTTTGCCATTTTTGCGCTGTTTTAAATGGAGTAATCAATGAGATATGTTTGTACTCAATAATAAAAAGAACACTTCTAAAACTGACCCTAAAAGCAACAAAAGCATGCTTGAGTTGTTTGTAATAACATATGAAACAAAATAAAAAAAAATTGTGCACACTACTGCGTGCAACAAATTCGCGTAAGTTGACATGATTGCGCTGGCACAGTACTGTTCATGCATGTGGCAAGTGTTAGAGGGCGAATATTTGCTCAAATTTCTAATTTGTGCGAGCAAAGTTTGAACTTAGGCGGGTGCTTAATTAGATTTATATGGAGACTTGCATCCAGCAAATGAGTGTGCCGCTTAACAGTTGAATATTGAATGCATGAGCTGCAAATGCATACTGCAATGCTTGGGTTAGACACCAAGTACCGCAGGGGTTTTCTTTTTTGGGAAAATATATACATAAAAGTGGAAAACGACAGGAAAAACAGAAATTTTCCGCAACCATCAGAAAGGTTGGGAGGCCTGGTTGAAGTCTGCCAAGAGCATCAAAAGCAGTTTGTGAAACAGGAATGAGCTAGCTCTGGGAACTACCCTGGGTAATGCCATAAAAAGTAAGATAACGAGGACTGGGCACAGTGTTCCTGCTCCCTCTTCAGTATTACTAGAAAGAGGGGGGAGATAAATGTGATTCGAATGAATAAAACAATGATTTAAAATACGCCTACTTGTTTGATGCAACAGCAGAGAACAGTGGTTGTAAGTGGCCGGCCACCGGGCCTGCATGCGCACTGCATGGCCCGGCAAAGCTTTCTTTGGTAACTGGTACCCAATGTTACACATACGTAAAGGTTTAATTAACTTGAGAACCAGTTCATATAAGGACCTGACGTAAAAGGGCATTGAAATTGGGGAATTTCTGTTGGTTTTTAATTGGCGAGAGGGGATCTATTTTCAAGTCAGGTTTACCCATTGTTCATGTTAGGCTTAAAAAAAAAACACCTCTTTCGGACCAGACCCACTGTGATCAAAACGCTTTTGATGCCGCGACATCACAACACCTATTGTTGTTTAGCATATACTGTACCATGCGGTACATGTAGGCCTGCAGTACATTGCCATAGTGTATAACAATGCTTGCTGGTGCATGATGCCCAGCTGGCTCTTTACGAATGGGGTAAATGTCAACATGTATAACACGAGGTTTACCGTAAGACAAGGTTTTTTGGAGAGTCCCTTCGAGCTCGTATTAAGTGTGTTCAACTGTATTTGTCACAGTGATTCCACTGTTCCTAAATTGCTGTAAAAGACAATTACCTGATGCACTGCCATTTTCTTGTTTCTACTCTCATTAACAAGAGCATGCTGCAAATTTTCAACCCGCTGAGGTTGCGCAGGCTTTGCCTTTGTTACAAACCTGTAATGGAAATCAGAACAATTCAAATTTAAATGTGTTGCATTTCCAATAGTGTAAAAAAATTACATCATTCACTGAGAGCTATTTCCATTTGAATTCCCTTCCACAACAGTGTGGGACAAGTCTATCAGATAATACTCATCCAAATAGCATCTACCTGCCTGTGCAACTTTCCTTAACTCTGTCAAGCCATTTGCTAAAGTTTGATCAACTGAAAATCTTTTCATAGGCGCTCCTGCACTGGAGCCATCGCAGAGAGTGCTATTAGGGTTAAAGTATTCTCCAGCAGTCTCCTCCCACACTACTGGGAAAGGATGGGGCAGTCTACAACATTCTTCTTACCAAAGTAACATCTACCTATGCAGAGCAGCATCTTGTTGGTGGGTATTTTAACCCTAACACTTCTCAATCCTTCACCAGTTGGAGGACTGAGGACTGTTAGGGTTAAGGCAGTATAACCTCCTGGAAATGAACACTGGGAAACTCATCATGGGAAATATCATTCCCATAATAATACTATTCCTCTGATAGTAACGGAGATTTGATAAGGGACGCCATCAGATCTGGAGGTAGTACATTTTGTCTCGGGGGCATCCCTTGTTGAGGTGTAACTTTGTGTTGCTGATTTTGCTATCATCTGCACTTTCTGCCTGAAATGCCATCCGACTATAATAAATGTCTTTCATATAGCAAGATGAGAAGGTGAAAGGTGACTTCCAGCATACCGCCTGGCAGATCTCAGTAACTGATACACCCTTAAAGTAAGGCCACCATATGGACACAGCTCTGGCTTCTTGTGCTCATATCTTTTGTCAAACCTGTCCATCAGAAGGGAATTGGCTAGTCTAGGTTTGCAAATTTGAGTGGTTGAAACTTTACAACATGCTATGGTGTCACTCTTGGCTAACTGATGAGGGTTAGTCAATGCTATGAACTGATGTGCAACTTAACAGCATTCTTCAATACCTCTATAGGATTATTACTGGGCACTAGAGCTTGTCAGGGGGTATCCCTGAGTGAGATTCCATAATTGGAACAAAGATGTCTTGGAGGTCAAATGTAAGAGTCTGGTTCTTTGTCAAAAACCTTATTGCTGGGACTAGGCGCAACCCATTGGGATACTATTGAATGTGTCCAGCTTCAATGGATGCCTTTTATTAACTCCCTTGACATATTACTACAGCAAGAAGAAAATCTAAGGGACGGTGACCATTTAGATCCGGTGTGAAAAAGGTACCCAGTAAGCAAAAACCCCTGTCCTACTGGACCAGGGACCAGCTACTGGATTGGGAGACTGATAGTGGGGTTGATCTTATCTTTCTTACGAAAGATAAGATTTATTCTCTCCCTGTCGCAAGGGTTAATGCAGGTTCACATTTTGTACAATTGGATGTGACTATGTGTATATCAAAAATACACGACAGCGTTATAAGTTATATACGTCGGTCATCTGTGAGATATAAAAAAAAAAGAAAATCTACATTAGCCTTTCAGCCGTACCCCTTCGTGAACACTGATTTTGTTTAACCCATTTAATACATGTACATATATGCGCACTGACAGCTTAGTATTTATGAACTGTATGTATGCCAAGTTGTTAATCATGTACATGAAGGGATGCGGCTGAAAGGCTAATGTAGATTTTTGATTTTAACCTGCATTAATCCTTGCGACAGGGAGAGAATAAATTTTGTTATCTTTCGTAAGAAAGATTTGGGTCACTGACTCAATTTTTTTGTAGCCTTGCCACTCTGGTTACAACATATCCTATAATCATTCTGTTGAGTCAAGCCAGGTATAAACATAACAGTTTGGGTCAACGAACTCGTTCCGGAAAATGTCACACTGCCTCCGAGGATAATAATGCACAGAACTGTAATGCCTCAATAAACTTTGGAAAAACGTGTTAAACTCTTGAAATCAAAGTTGCTCATGGATATGGGATGGAAGAGATTCATACTTGTATTAATGTATCATTTATACACGGAAGTACTACGGCACGTTCGAAGCGAGCTTCCAGTATGACTTCTACTACAGCACCTTTGTGTGAGCATTAGTGCATACCACACATACAGTCTATTCACCATGTAGCTGCTGGTTCAATGGGGCCTGCTGCTATACAAAGCCCTCCATTCATGGCATGTCACAGCCCAGCAGTAGCGGTCAAAATAATCCCGACGTTAAGGGGTTAAGTGGCATCAGACAGGTTCACAGACAGCGGCCGATCCTGAAGTGAAAGAATCACTGTCACCATCTCCTTGAATACCTGCTGCCCCTTCTCTCAACTCTTGTAGACTGCCTGGGGGATGGGGCAAGGACATGTGATTGGATGGCTGCTGTTGCGCTGCCACCACTGGAGCACCTGTCGAGAATGTTGTGATTGGTGCATAGGGATCTGAAAAGGCTTGAATGGTTTGCGAGCCTGGGGACGAAAGGTAGGTCTGGTTCTGGAGGCTCACTTGGGTATCATCCGGTCCTTGGTTTTGACAGTACCTGTGTAAGCTGAGCATTTTTGTGGTGTCATTTTGTGTCACTTCTGCTCCCATCAACTCTTGAAATTGACAACTAAACAGGTCCCACCCCCCTGAGCAGTGGGAAGTCCTGTAGCTTTGTCTTATTTCCCTGGTATGGAATGGCCAAGGTGTTTGTTCACTGGGAGGTCACCAGCAAAGAACTAGTTGAATGTGGTACCCTGGCCTTCGTCAGGTCATTTGAAGGTTATCCTGATTACATGTACATGTAGGTCAGCAGGGATAGGTGTTTGTTCTTTGCATGTGCAGACCAAGCATTCTGACAACAGCAATGACTTTATTCGAATTCTGAAGTGAAAGCCCAGTCAAGTTTTGTGAGTACATTGTCCATGATAAAGCCCAACTTTACAAGTTGGCTTTCCTAGGTTGGCTCCCAACTTTACCATTGTTGTGTCTGGCAGCTGAGGAACTCACAAAGGGTTATCAAAATGTGCCCTTGGAAACTGCAAATTGGGCAGTGTTCACTGTGGGTGAGGTCTCCAAGTACTCACCTTTGCAAGGGTTTCAACTTGTTTGACATAGACCTGGTCAAATGAAGTAGAGGAACAACAGGGGTCTTCAACTGTAACAGGGCAGTGCGGTGCTTGAAGGAGTTATGCCTCATGTTCTCTTTGGATGGAGCTGCAGATGGGAGCTTGAGTACCCGCTCCATGTCTTGTTGTTAGGACCCCCCTCCAAAAAGTCTTTGTAGTGTGAAGGGGCACTGCATGAAGGCCCAGATTAGCAAGGAGCTGATGGTCTGGCAGTGTCTGTGCCATCCTCATTCCTTCAACAGAATACCAAATGACCACCAAAGGATGAATGGAAAGTGGAGCCTCCCTGGATGAGTAAAGTGCAAGTTCTCCACTTGGGTGTACTGGAATACTGACCCATTCCTCACGTTGGTTGACAGCATGGTGAGCCAGTCAGGTCGGATACTGTTTTTCGGTAGCATGAAACTGGGACTTGAGGTTGGGAATGGTAATGGGTCGTGGTTCTGCTGCGAATTTACGTGGCTGTTGCATCATTGCCTTGAAGGCATTACTGATGCTTTGTAAAGCTGCAATGAAGTACACTTGAGTAATAGCATACAGTTCTTCTTTCAGTGGGAGTGCACTGTTTTTTATCCTTTAGCTGCCAATGAAAGTGGAGATGAAAGCCATATACGCTTATGTTTCTTGAGCTACATAGACGACGTGGTTACACTCTTGTCTTGTCCATTCTTGCACAATCGCCTCTGGTGGCTATCAATGAGAAGTCCATCAACCACTGCATCACAAAAATTTTTATTGTGTTTAACACTGGGATTGATTGAAGTTTTAAATGACGCCACATTAAATACAGTCTTAGCACAGGGGATATGGGGTGGGGGTAGAGTGTTCAATGTTGGAATAGTCCAGGAGTATAATCAATGACTGTTAAAAGCCTTTTTGATGACTTTGTCATTCACATTCTGTGTCACAAGTGACAAGTTTAGACAAGGTGTCCTTTGCTAGAAGATGACTGACTTTTGATGGGTAATCCCATAAGTTTTTTGTTGTTTACTTCGAAGCATTGAATTTCTTTTGCTAGCTTCAGTTCTGTGTCACTACCCCAGGCATGCAAGCATTATGTGGAGAGGGCACATGTGGGCAAACCGCTTGACACTATAGGTCCCTATCAGGTCATTGTGTGTTTTCTGCACAGGACATCGTGGCTGGTGACTTGTAAAAAATCGTTCAAAACAGTCAGCTATCACTGAAAGTCTTGGGGATGATTGTAGATCCAGTTAGTTTTGGGATTTTTGCTCAGGATCAATCCAAAGGAGTCAGTGTTTCAGCCATATGGGCCTTAGCTCCCTTAAAACTTAGTTATGTTGGGGTGGGTGGGAGTGTGGGGAGACTTATTATCCAGTTCAACCTGGGCTCTATTGGGACAAGGCAGTTCTAGCAATGGGAGACCGACCATGACCTGCAGTGATCAGTACCCAACAGCACTGGGGGGTAGTAGAGCGTAAGCCTGACAACTGCAATGGCAAACACAGGGGATTGCTTCAACCTCTTAATTAATTGACAGAAAGGACAAGCCTCCTTGGCAGTCAGACCCAAAAAGTCTGCAGGGCTGAAAATACATGTATGCAAGGTAGCATCACGCAGGGAAAAGATATAAACATAACCTCAAGAACACTAACCATAGTTACAATTGAAACTTTACAGCATTTACTAAACAGTTGGTCGGATATACAAGTAACGTAGTAATAATCAGTGAAGAATGGAAACTGGAAGAATTCAAGAAAAAGAAAATACGCATCCTTTAGCTGTGTCACTATGAAAAAGAAGGGAGATTATGGGCTTGGCACCAAGATGCATTGTGGTTGAGAGTAGGCACCGTCAAAATTGTATTTTGGCTGATACCGATATATCTTTTGTTCATATTAATATAATTGATATATTGCATTTTATTCACTTTAATTTTCAAGGAATATAAGAGGCATGAATTGCTGGTAAATTGTTCTAAGGGTACAGCCCTACACCGTAATGGTGTGATCTAATTCACTTTGGCGACATGTTCTAGCATCCATATTGCGTATGTTACCTACATGTACTTTGGATGCAGGATACATACTGCCATGTATAGTGGTATCATCAGCACGTGATGCTAGTCTTTTGGAAGACAAATTTTGTGATATTTTCGAGGCAAAGTGTGTGCGAATTATTGAGTGCCTGAATGAGATAGGTAACTGAATTTATCCACTTCCTGCCGGGGACTCCGGAATTGGAGACATATGGTTTATATGCGTGGCCTGGGTCTCCGAACTCGGACAAAGGAAACAGGGCCCTGTAACAAAAGACCGTACTCCGAACAAAAGACCAGGCTGCTGGGCATTAAAGACATTTTTCACTCTCAAAAGTGGTGATAATCCAGCCTTCTTTTGAAACCGTATACCAGGGTTTGGGGCATTGAGAGCGAGCGGATTACCAACGGGGACAAAAACACTCCACCACCGCAGCGATGAGCCACACAGCACCGCTGCACGCTAATCTGGCCCCTATTGAAAAGAGGTCAGCAGTGCACTGAGCCAGGTTTGTGAACAAACGACAGTTATACAACACTACACAATTTGGGCTCTGTTTACAAGGCTGCTGGCCAGGCTGAAATACTCGAGCGTCAATGAAGGTCACCTGTCAACTTAGAGGAGTGCCTAAAGATTATTTTGTGCGGCTATAAAGGACCGTTAAATGAAATGATGAATTTTTGAAGGATTTTGAAAACGGAAAAAATGATAGTCGTGCCGGCCCAGCATCATCAACATCAAAAATTAAATATTACCAAATAACTAACATCAGTGATATCAATATCAAACCCAATACCAAATAACTAACATCAACGATATCAATATCAAACCCATATCGACAATATCGAGATATCGACAGTGCTTTGTTGAGAGGTGTACTACGGATGATAAAATTTTAGCAAATGGCCTAACGGCTCGAGGAAATATGCCCAGGTAGATGCTTTTGGATAAGATGAATGCCGTAGGCACATATATTCCAAACAGAAATGTTAAAGGTATCTGCTGACTCTTTTCACCTCATTTTTGCATCTCAAAATACAGGAAAAGACATAATCACACAAATCTGCAAAAGGAAATCTTATTAAAAAGAAGCCAATCTGCCTCAGCAAACTGCTAAGCTTGAGTAAAAATCACTACACAATGTCAAGCATCAGTTTTACAGGCAGACACGTGTAAGAGGTATAAGAAGCAATCCTTTTTTTAAAGTTTTCTGCACTCCTCCCCCACTCTTGAGAATACAAATAAAACTGGAAATGAAAGAAATTATTTCTTTGTATGGTATTATCACTTTTGATATCTTTAAAACATACATGGCCCTTAACTCCCCCCTTCTGCCAGCAAAAGCATATGGGTTGCTCACTTGTGAAAGTGTTGAAAAAATTGACAGGCCCTCATGGAATGTAATTCCTTCCTTTTTAGATAATTTTTTTGGAGACTCCTTCCAAACAAAGTCTACACACTGTATATGAATAATATCCCTAGCCGGTTGGGTATTTCTTGAAAAAAAAGAAGTTCAGATTAGTTTGTGGTGTTAGGGTATCCTCAGAATGGCCAGAAATCATGTGTTATGTTCGTTCCCCCCAAATGACCTGTTCCACATCCTGTGACTTCTTTTGACTATCCCTGAAGCTACTTTTAGAGGGGATTTCACTGATGGAGTCATCCAGGCAATCACTGAAACAGGGCGAGCCAAACCTACATGTACGCTCCCATATGTTTGAGCACAAAGTGCTGCTCCCAACCAATAGGGTATTGTGATTTGCCTAACGCACGCACATGTCAAGCTTAAGAATGAGCGTGTGAGTTTGGTGCCACTGTAATTGTGGCATCTAACTAGATTAGTCTATATTGACAAAAATTGTATAGGTATGCCATACTCTACCTCTTCATTTTCCTCTTCCTTACTCCAGCACTTCCCCAATCTCCCCAGCCTGCCAGTGATAAATTTCCATCATCGCTTGGCTTGCAAAGGTCCATGTGTTCCTGTTTTTCATCTTGAAAGGCCTCCACAATATCATCTTCAGCAAAGGCCTCACGAATAGTCAGAAAAGGATGAGACTGCTCTTCACCAATGATAAGATCCGGAGCAGAAGACTGAACAGCTGTTGCCTCGGCTCTTAAAATTGTCAACTTTGCATTTTGTTTTTGTTTCTCAACAAAGGTATTTTCATAACCTCTGTCAAGGGGAGACAAGTTCTCAGAACTTCTTGAAAGAGGTGCATCTCCATCACTCTGCTTATCATGGTCAGACTTGGATTCATCTTCTTGTTTCAAGTTTGATTTAGTCAAGGTTGTGAATACGTTGCACTTATTTTCTTCACGTAATTCACCAACACCATTATCAGATGTACAAGACTCGTTGTCCGATTCAGTATGCATCACATAAGAGGAAACAGGCTGAAAAGGAACACTCTTGGTATGAACAGTTTCTTGATGTTTGGCAGTGGTTCCAGTAAACCATGGATTATTGATGTCGCCGTGCAGTAATCTGGATGTAGGACTGTCAGCAGAACCGTCACTTTGACTAACATGCGAGGTAGTCCTCTCATTGTCAACAATATCTCCATCATCTGCATCCTTGAATTTTGTAGTGAGGTCATAACTTTGTTGCAACTGCTTTGCTAATAGATGGCGTGCCTGTACATAAAAAGAAGTACAACTCAAGAAGTGACTGAAACTTTTATTCATACCCGAGACAGTTTACCATTCCCACTGATTGTAATTTCTGTCACATATGGTAGTAGAATCACAGCAATTAATTCATTTTAAGATCCTCAAGTTTAACAGGAAATTGTCAGTTTAGTTTTAGTTCAGAAACAAAACACTGTAATAAAAGTTCTTGCTTTAGCAAACTGTCCACATTTCTCAGCTGGTCTTCATGGATAAACACTCCCAAGACAGTTTCACTGCAAAAGTGGTGCTATTTAAACGGCTAGTGTTTAACTATGACTCCCTTTTGATAATTATTCCCTATGTACAACGGAAAATTTCCTAGGTCTAGTTAGACTGAAGTTACACCAGTGTTGCAGTCTAGTCCACTACTTCTGTGTCAGAGTCCTGCTAGTCAAGCCCCAAAAGAGCAAGTCAGAGTCTGTAAACAAATAAAATCCAGTTCAGACACAACTCCGTGTCCTGAGGAAACTGAAAAGTCCAGACAAAAAATCTGTCTCCTTAAGTGTGTCCTCCTATTTGACATACTAATATTTCCTCAATTTATTGCATCAAGTGTAGTATCCTTGCTTGTTTTTTCAATCAAATCACACTGCACATTCCCCATTGCTTAGCAAGAAGACAGCCAAAAGGTTAAGGTTTGTGGGTGAAGTAATTCCAGTGACATTTTTGTTGGCCTTTGTTTGCAATGAAGTCCCTAGTTCCCACTGAACTTTATCACTTTCAAAATACAATTATTAATCTCACAATGCTTTGAGGCCTAAAGATGCACAGGTATATGTACATGTATGGTTTCTAGTCCTGGGCACTCTTCCCATGCTTCAATGTCAATTTGGCCCCAGCAAGGCCAGCTCAATGATGATGAATGGGCCAGAAGTCAATGCAGTGTTTGTTTTGGTTGTGATTCCAGGGATGTATTCTTCCATATCACCATATCACCCTGACGGCATGAAATGACTTATTGAATTTTGAAGATTTAATTTGTCCCTTTGACTTTGTACACACTTTCCAGCCCACTGACTTTGTACATGTACACATGTACAGTCAAACATGAATAACACAAGCACGCTTGAGACGAGATCGTGCTTAAGCCGAGCATATTTCTTCAGTCCCGTTCAAATGTACACATTCCTATGAGAGAAAACTTACTTAATACGAGCTACGCTAAGACGAGAACATGGACAAGACGAGCACTTTTGCCTTACTGGCAGAGTCAAAAACCATTGTCCATGGCATTTTTAATACAAGTACGATTGAAAAGCATTTTCAAGAGCTTAATCCCACTAATCCTAGGAAGTAATTTCTGATGGAGCGCATCAGTAGTTCTCCAAAAATGCTGATCCGCTGGGCAATTTGCGCTGTAGTTTTGCCAATGATGACTTAGCAACTCTCTTCCTTGTGCCACTACAGGGGGCTTTATTCTAGACAACAATAGGTGTTGCCATGTCGCAGCATCAAAGGACTTTTAATCACAGCAGGTTTTTTTAGCCGAACATGAACAATTATGGGTGAACCTGACTTGAAAAAAGATCCCTCCTGCCAATTACAAACCAATGGAAATATCCCAATTTCAACGCCCTCTTACACCCGGTCCTTATATGAACTGGTGCTCCAAGTTAATTAAACCTTTACTTACACTGTACATACAACGTTGGGTACCAGTTTCCAAGGAGTGCTTTGCCTGGCCACGCCGCGTGTGCGCGGTGCAGGCAGGGTGGTCAGCCATTGTTGCATCAAACAAGTAGGCGTATTCGGAATCATTGTTTTATTCATTTGAATCGTATTTATCAATATGATTTAAACTTTATAAACAAGTTAAAGGCTGTACATTGAATACTAATCCACTGCATATACATGTAGATTACAGTACATGTACATTGCCGTGTACATGAATGCTTGCTGGTGCATGACGCCAGGCTTGCGCTCTATGAATGGGATAAGTGTCAACACGTATAACACGAGGTTTACTGTTTACTTTACTATATCTGGCTACCGTCTTGCAACCTGTAGGTCTACATGTGCAAGTCTATTAAGGCCTATTCCAATTTCCATGACAGAATTTATAAAAAGTATTCAAATATTTTGGTAGAAGTTAAGTCTTATTTTTATTCAAGGAAAAAAAAGAGGCCAATCAATATAACATCAAATTGCATCACTAGATATCCCTTTGTAATCCTTGCTGAAACCAAGGGGTGACTGTGAAGTTTAGAATCCAAGTTCTTCTCACACAGATCACACATCCACCTTAAACTTTCTACTTCTCACATCACGGAGCAATCATCATGAGACCACATTGGGCAAGACTGGGTGCAGACAACCTATCAAAACTGATATTCCTGAAGTGTAACCACTTTTTGCTCAAATGATGTGTCATGTGTACATGTCAATTTGTCAACACGGCTACTGGTCACTTTGTCTGTGATCATCATTAAAAAAGGTGACAACTTACAACTGCAATTTTGTGTCTTGTTTGTTTATTTCTAGTATTGTTGTTTATTATCCTCGGTCTCAGTCTCAGCCCACATCGGTCTCAGTCTTGGTCCACTTTGAAGGGTTTGGTCTCGGTCTCGGCCTTTGAACTTTAGGTCTCGGTCTATCTGGTCTTGATGCAACACTGGCAATTAACAATGATAATGTACATGTACATCCTACATGTAGGTGTTCAACACAATCTGAAGATCAACTTACGCACATTCATTGTACTCCCTCCTGAGTACATGATTCAATGGTTTAAGTATGATGGATTTTATTCAAAGGCAAATCAAATCTGGATGGAGTACAAAAAATTTGCACAAGTTTTACAACTGCATTGAACACAGGCATCGAACTGACTAAAATCCCCCAAAACACTCACTGAGCATACTGTTCTTCACATCCATGTCCCCCGGAAGACAAACCATGTCATTACATGTTCATGATGAATATCCAAAAATGTATGAAATTTTAATGTACATTTGTAGACCAAAGAATCGTGTACCAGCCCTTGAGACCTATGCACAGGCTATTCATTCACAAGTGAATACCCTGATAATCTCTCCAGGGATGAGCGTTTACCTCTCAACTCCCTGATATCATCATCATCATCGAGCCGGCAGATAAAGGTTCAGCTGTGGTAATTATGGGCTGACAGCAATACATTGATGAAGTCCATCGCCATCTTAACAATCATACGAACTACATGTACAGTATATCCCCCTCGATTCTGACCCCAAAGGAACATTCTCACAACAGATTCAGCAGGTACTGGATGATATGCGTTCACATGACCAACTATACAAGAAAGTTCATAAGTTTCTGTCCCTTACTGATTGTAGAACCGTTCGAGTTTACCCACTCCTCAAGATCCACAAGGCAGGTAATTTAGGGAGGCCCATCATTTCCGGAAATGGATTGCCCACTGAACACATATCATTGTTCATCGACACTTTTCTCGAGCCCCTCGTTCCACAGATCCCGTCATATATCCACGACACGCCAGACTTCCTATGTAAGCTGGAAAACACCAAGAACAAGATTCCCAGCACAGCCATCATTGGGGCCTTTGATGTTTCTTCTCTCTATGCTAACATTTCCCACGAAGAAAGTATTTATGCATGCTGCTCTGTTCTCATGAAGAGTAGACACACAACTCCCCCACCAGTGATGTCGCAACACTTATGAGACTTGTACTATTAAACCAAGAACAATTTCTCCTTCACAGGCAAACACTATCTCCAGGTACATAGCACAGCTACATGTATGGGCACCCGCATGGCTCCCTCCTTTGCTTGGCTCTTCATGAGTAACCTTGAAGAGCGCATGCTTACTTCAGCACCGTGCCGCCCTTGGATCTGGTGGAGATACATTGATGATGTAGTTTCATCTGGACCAGTGACAGTGACAGTCTAGACATCATCATTAACCGTATTAATTCTTTCCACAGGACAATTAAGTTGACTTTGGAATATTCCCTCCGTCAGGCCAACTTTCTCGATGTCAGCATCCAGAAGGAGAACAACCTCATGACTACTGACCTGTATTCCAAGCCCACAGACACTGCAAAACTGGTATTGCATACAGCTAAGCACTAAAATTGAGATGCATTTGTTCTAATGATTCAGATTTCTCCAGTCACACACAGGAACTGAAGAGGCATTTGATTGCAAAAGGGCACAATTATCACCAGGTTCAACGTTCATCAATAGGGCCCACTCCTTCCCTAGAAGTCTTGCACTCAAGGAGAAGACTCCTCACAAAGAAACAATCCCCACGGTTCCCTTAGTCACCACTTTCCATCCTCGTCTTCCTCCCCTCCACAAACTAATAAATGACAGTCATCATATCCTCCACACTTCAGACCGCCTAGCCAGTGCCATTCCAGACACCCCGCTTGTGGCCTTCAGGCATCCCCACAATCTATGGGACCTTATCATTCCGGCATGTGTCCTCCCCCCCCGATACCCTTCCCCCTTCTCAGCACGGCACATTCAAGTGTGATTCTAACAGATGTGTTGTAGCAGGGTTGTTTGATTTAAATCACTCGATTTAAATCATTGATTTCAATCATTGATTGAAATCAATGGGAAAAAATAGGAAAACTCACCAATAAAAATCACTGTTTTATTTCTTGATTTTTCAAAGAAAAAAAACCCTGTAAGTTACTGGAGGAACTTCAAAGAAAGCCCTCATTAAGTTAAAATTGATCATTTTTGTGCAATACACATTAGGGGCCTACATATTCTGAAGCAATTTACAATTGAACATGTACTTTGTAGCCTATGTTCAATTTGAAGTGGCGTTCCTATAGTATGTATACCTGCACAGAATTAATCTCTTGCCTGTGAACCATTAATTTTTTTTTGCTCATGAACACCTGTCATTAGCTGTTATATAACATTCTACATGTATGCAAATGTCCTCCCCCCCTTTACAGGCCATTGATAAAACCACTTTGTCTGTGGTCAGAATAGCCACGTCGGCGATAGCAAAGAAACAGTTCACATGTGATATACATGTATGTGAATGGTATCAATTTGGGGTGTTTCAAGCAAATGGTCATGATGGTTAGGCCTAACTGTTATTTAGCTTATTAAAATTCTATTTAAATTAACAAAAATCTGATTTAAATTTAAAACATCTGATTTTAATTTTAAAAATCTGAATTTTTTTTTATATCATGATTTTTTATCAACTCAGAACCATGTCCTGGAATCAGATGCATTCTCTCTGGACACTCCTCTGGTTCCACCCACAGAACCAAAGGCACTATCACATGTAGCTCTTCTAATGTCATATACATGTATCTTTAGAAGAGATAAACATAATCACCGCGG